TTGATAAATATTAATAGTGAAAACTATAGTTTATAATATACTTTTTGGAAGGATCCTTCTACGTAAAGATCTATATCTATATAAGTATACATGAAATGAAGATCGTAGGGCATACAGTAGTATTATGAGATTTAAGTATTAAAAATATTCAATTATGGTGTTGTTTTCGTTATTCATATTGATGGGAAAAATGATAGATTGAAGGTCATTATATAATAAAAGAAAAATAGTAGATGTATGAAATATATTATAATATTTGAATTGTGGTATTATTTATGTTACCTCACGATATGCATCACATAAGAGATTGGAGAATGATTACGAATATGAAAGAAGAAAATACGCATTTGAAAATTAAAATGGTTATTTGGCTAAAGTATGCATTCGATTCATATGTTATGGAAAAATCGATATAAAAATAAAATTTAATTGAATATTTATGAATAAAAAGGAAAGATGGTAGAGGTTTGAATTGTATAACAAGATTTGAGTAGTTAGATTTTTGAATTAAAATGTTATTTTGATTATCTAACTTTGTCCAATTATTTAAAATATTCATTAAAACCAAATGTCATATCATTTTTACATAAATTTGAACATTAGTTTACTCTAAAAGAAACTAAGAATAGAGTTAAGAGAGTAATTTATCCTGGTTTGTCTTGCATCCATTTCCCAAGCTATGTGTAGACTATTTTCAGTGAAGTAAAGAGAGAATCAAATCAGAAGCTCTAACATCTTCTGGCTTAACACAAGCAGAAAATCCAGGATCTGATTTTGATACATCACAATGAACTCGGTTCCACTGTCTGTAAACCAAACAAAGCCAATGTATCCAACATAAATCCCTTTGTATGCAAGTAACCACAATTTGACTCAACAATGAACAGTTCTTTTAGCTAGAATCACAAAACAAGTGATTTGACTTTGATGGTCAAACGCTTTGAAAGAAATTAGCCAATTTACATCATCTAGCAAGAGCCAAACAAAACCAACCCAACATATCTTATATAGAGGTAGCATGTACGCAGACCTTTCCTCTACCACAAKAACAAGAGGTACAAAAAAGTTATTGTGCCTTATCAAGAACCAACGAACTAAARTAACTAATGCTCTGACTTTAGAAGTCAAACAAGGTACCTGTTCTACTAGATTCAAAGCGAACAGTCTTATTTATGTATTTTGAAAGTATGATGCCTAAAATAAAAATATATATTATACTTTTGTGCAATTATGCCATCCAAATTGTTGAAAGGGTGACAGATTATAATGAACTTTTCATACCTTTGTAGAGAAAACTGAACTCTTTTTTATGAAATGTGCTCTCAGTAATCTTTTCTCTTGCTATTTGCAAGATCCTCTGCAAAATTGTTGTCTTTGCTTTCAAGATCTTTCAAGTATGTAGCGTAAGCTGGATCATAAGTAGTTAAGATCTGCAAATATTTTGCCGCCTCAGCATCGCGTCCTATGCTTGCTAAAGCACTGGAAATTATATTAAATATGTCAGTGTTATCAGCGACTGTAGATATACAAAGATAGATTAATAACAAACTAGTTTCATGAATTTAAAGAAAAATAGAACATAAATGTAGAGTCCATATAAAATATACTCCATCAGTCCAAAAAATTGCAACTTGACTTGAAACATATCTGAATGAGAGAAAAACCAAAACCAAACTAGACCAGTTTACCAAACCGGAGGCGGGGTCTGGGGGTAAGATGTAAGCAGACTTGAATTTTGCCCTAAAGAGTAGAATGGTAGTTTYAGTGAAGACCCACGGGGTATCGAAAAAGCGCATGAAAGGGAGAAATACTGACTTGTGAAAAAACTGAAAAGCTAGACCARAAAGAAATAGCAAGGCAAATAGAAAGAAAGAAAAACAGATACCTTAACGAGAGTGTTTGACTATCAGCAAAATATCTATAAATGTTTCACAATAAGAGCACATTAGGGGAATTCTTGTTCACCAAAATTAATCTTGCCAATATTTGGTAACGACTACTAAGGACAATGAATTGAATTTTTACATAGAAAGGAAACGTTGCATTTATTTTGAAGCGAAGGAAAAGGAAATTGTTGTATTTGTTTTGGACACAGGGGATAATTTTCTTGCCAAAAGAACGATTTGGTGATACCATTCTTACCTTGAAAGCATAAACAAACCATCACAATAATGGGTTTTGCTCTTCGTATCCTCTGGCTCTTTCATATTTGCTATTCTTTCTAGGTGTACGATTCCTTCTGCAACTTTACCCTGCCCAAGACCAGAAATCTGTACTAAACAAAAAACAGGAGGGTACAGGCAAACATGCTAAAAATGGAAGTACTTCCGACAACCCTGGATAGAAGAGATACATCAAACTAGTTTTCAACCTCAAAATTGATGTGAAAAACAAAATTAACTTCTATAAACTTTGTACAGGCATCTGGTGTTCTCTTTGTAGTAAAATTCATATCATTCTTGGATTACTAGGTTCAATAGCAGAAATTGAAACATACCTCTTTCGGAGAGGATGAAGTAGAATGCTAAAGGCCAGTTTGTGCATGCAATTTCACATCTTTTCTCTATTATTTTTTCTAGATGTATACATTTTAAACCACTTTTAATCACCCTCTGAATTCTGAAAATTGGTGTAAAATCTAAAGTATGGTAAACAAACAAACACATCAAAAAATGCTCCACCTGCTTCGCAAGAGCCACACCTGCCCACAGAGATGCTAGAATTAAATGATCAATTTCCTCAACTTCTGTTGGATGGCCTGTGAGAAGAAGCTGCTAAAAGAAGATGATTACTATAACGAAAATTTTCATTAAAGATAGCAGAAATTTGACCAATGAATCTGGAAAAATCAATATAGTGAACATAGAGTTCCATACTTTGGAGATAGCACGTTCCAAATATTCAGTAGCCTCGGCCAATTTTTCATCCTTCATCAATAGCTGCCCCATAACGATCAATACTCTGGCATATTCAGGGTCCTTTTCAAGTGCCAATCTGTAATTAATGTATAACATTTGGATTACAACAATAGATTGAATCTCCGTTACTGAGAAAAAAGAATTTATGTTAAAATTATTTKAACTAATTTGCTGAAAACTGCAACAAATTACCTTAGAAGTCGAACTGCTCTATCTTGTTCCCCCTTTGATAGGTGTTTGATAGAGAGCTGTAAACAATAAGATGAAAATGAAGCACCTCAATTTGATACTGAAATCAGCAAAACAAAGTAGCCTAAAATGAAAAAGAACACTTACGTTAAAAAGTTCTAGCACTGATAGGCCTTGAATAGGTTTTTTAACTAAAGGGACCGTGAACGTGGCTTCTAGTCCATCCATTTCACGAGAGTTTCTAGGATCCACTGGAGCTGACTTGTCAGGTAATCCTAACTTCTCACGAACAAGTGGATGCTTGAAAGCTAATTGCTGCCAGATTGATTTACCAGTTATAGTAAGAAAGCTATAGGATAGTACAAACCAAATACTCATAGAAACAAAGGGTGCTCTATTCTGGATAGTGGAATTTTAGCATGGATAGTTTTCAGCATCAAAGTCAAGAGCCAAATTGTTAGGATTCATAARCAGTGAGGTCTTAGAAAATTAAAACCAACCTGAACAAGGGTTAAAGAACTATTAGCTGCCCAGTATAGCAAACTTCCCTGCAAAAGAATTATTAAAATCTGAGTTTAACATGTTCCTACTGAGAAAATTTAATGACTAATCAAGTGTTTATCAGCCAACCACATKAGAGCAATAATATATGAAAGGRCTTGCAACTAAAACAAACTGAAATGATAGGAGAAAATCACTGAAATTACACTAGTAGCTGAGTCCAACAACTAGGGGTGTTAACAAGTTGAGCTTTTAACGAGCTCATGTATCTCGAGCTCAAGCTTAATAAATATCGAGCTCGAGTCTCGAACACACACTAAAACTCGTCTAATTGACGAGTCGAGCTCCATAACACCAATGTTAGACTCAGCTCGTTCCAAAGCTCGAGTAAAAAAATTTGAGGTCGAGCCAAAAACCGAGCTAGYCGTTCTCGAGTTCAAGCCCATAACAGGTATCGAGCTYGAGTTCGAACATTGAAAAAATATTCGAACTCGAGCTCAAGCTGGTAAAGTGTTTTTCGAGCCAAACTAGAATAACCTGCTACTCGAGTCGATTCGGCTCGGCTTGTTAACACCCCTACCAACAACTACAAATAATGAAAACTTGATATCATCAAAACTAGATAAATGGCTACCTGATCATCAGCAATTACACATGACCAATAGTTCTCGAGCGACATCATCTTATTTATGGATGTTAGAGGATAAATTTGTTAATAACAGTAGAAGCCATTCTTTGTATTACAAGAAAATTGTTCAACAGTAATTGTTTCATTGACCAATAGCGGCTTCGAGTACAGAACAAGCAGTCAGATTCTACATAGCACTTGTACAGTTTACAACAAGAACAAAATTACGGTTTTTCCTGACAAATTGAGATCTAAAATGCAAGCTCGTTAGCTGCAAAATATGAGAATTTCAATTCACCTGGGGAAGATAAAACCCAGCAAAAAGTATAGGAATTGTAAGACACTGCAAGTAGGACTTGTAATACTTCAACACAGAGAGAGAGAGAGAGGTTAGAATCTGTCTTAAAGTTTAAACAAAAACAAGATAACATAATATGTTAGCATGTAAGCAACTGCAATCATTTGTAAGAGAAATTTGGAGTCAAGACCCCCAGGCACAAACATGTGATTGCTTCTCATCCGAAAAGAAAACAAAACTTTGAGATAAAAGAAGCAATTCAACTAATCAGGTTATCATAATAGATTGAGGTCTGGACGCCTCCTGCTGACCAGATGGTTCTTCCTCCTGTCTGAATGACTTGGACAGCTCCTTGTTTGTTTGTGTCGAAATGTACATATTATAGATTAGGAGGAATCTCTATAATTATGGAATATAGTTTCTCTAATTATGGGATATAGTTACCTTCTTTATCATTATATTTTCTGTATCTTTTACTTGATTTCCTTGATTTAGTTTCCCTTTATCTCTTGTAAATACCCTATATATGGCCTTGTATAATCAAAGGATAGACAGCAAATAATTATTCAATTCATCTTTCTTGTCATGGTATCAGAGCTTTAGGTTTCTCTCAGAAATCTAAAACCCTTGTTCTATTTTATTTCAGCCTAAATTGCTCTTCCCAGTGTGTGCAACCTTCATCGTTGCAAGTGTTTCTGATCAAACAGCCTTAATTGTTGTATTTCCTTTGATTGAACGACCTTTTTATTCTCTTTTGCAATTCCCTTTCCTTCATCATGACAAAACCTCAAATAATGACACCACCATTGTTAACTCCTCCGATGAGTCCAATTTTGTCCAAAAAATTGGACATCTGCAGAATATCCAGGCACCATATCGACTCAATGAAAAAAACTATCTCAAGTGGTCTCAATTTGTCCGAACATACCTGAAGGGCAAAGGGAGACTCAAACACCTCATTGAAGCAGGTCCTGCTGTAGATGAGCCAACATTTGGAACTTGAAATGAGGAAGATTCCATGATAATGTCATGGCTATGGGAATCTATGGACCCAATGATCAGTGACACATGCATGTTTCTCTCCACTGCAAAAGAGATATGGGAGTTTGTTTGCCGCACTTATTCGAAGGCTCGTGATGCGGCTCAAGTATACCAGATCAAGGTTAAAACCTCAGCCACAAAGCAAGGAAACAAATCTGTCACTAAATATGCAAATATATTGCAAAATTTGTGGCACGAACTTGATCCTTATCAAATTTTCGAGATGAAGTGCCTTACAGATGCAACTATCTTATAAAGTTTCATTCAAAAAAACCGAGTCTATAATTTTTTGGCTGGTTTAAATCCTGAATTTGATCAAGTCAGGATTCAAATACTTGGCAAAGAAGACACACCATCACTTGAAGAAGTGATCTCTTTGATCAGAATAGAAGAAAGTAGGAGGAATTCATGCTTGAACCACAAGCTGACGGATCAGCCCTAGCAACAAGGACCAACCAACAAGAGAAGGAGATGAGAGATCTGTCCAAGTTCGGGGGTAAAGAAACTCAGGAGAACAGAGATAGTCTTTGGTGCACTTACTGCAATAAACCAAGACATTCAAGAGAAATGCTGGAAGTTAAATGGGAAACCACCCAACAAAGAATGGGAAAACCATGGTGGACAACAAAGTTGTGATGGGGAACCCATGGGGGGAAACAAAAGCCTAAATGGAGGCAGCAGAGATCTCAAGCACACATTGTTGAGCAATCCAAACCGGAGGAGAATTCAGCAACAGAAGAGTTCAACAACGAAGAAATTGAGAGGTTAAAGAATTTTTTAGGTTCTCTCGAGAAGTCAAAGGAAACTTGCTCTTTAACTCTTTCAGGTAAACCACTTTTTCCTTTTTGTCTGAATGCCTCGAGTAATCTTGTCAACTCATGGATAATAGATTATAATGCCACTGATCATATGACATTTTCCAATTTTTTTCATAATTACACTCCATGCCCTAGCAACCGAAAGATTACAGTTCATGTACGATCCAAGAGAATCTCATCTTCAAGCAGCCTACATGGTACTTGCATTACTTGAAAGATAATCAAGGGAAGGGCATTCTATTTAAGGAGAATGATGTTGGGATTTATTTATAAATCCAATAATAATTATGAGCTTACATATTATTATATAATTATATTACGCTATTTAAGTAATGGGCTAATTATGTGATTAATTAAAGAGAGCCCATTAGAACCCAATTTAGTATGGACTTAATGAGAGGAAGCCCATTAGGTTATAATTAGGGTTTAATGGGAACCCTAATTACAAYTCTATATAAAGACGACTAGGGTTATGGTTCCCACAYACCAAAATCAATACGTTCATTCTCTCCCCATTGGAAGGACATCAAGGATTTTGCGTTGAGGAAAGCCATAATCTCGGATCTACGTTTCATACTCAAGCCTAACTAATGGAGACGGGTACGTGTATTCTTATTCGTATGTTCTTAATAATTCATTGTGATAATCTTCATTTTTCAAACAAATGAAACTCTTACTCTCGAAGCCTACACCGATGCTGATTACGCCGGTTCTAAACTGGATTATAGATCGACCTGAAGATATTGCATTTTCCTTGGAGGTAATCTGGTGACATGGAGAAGCAAGAAGCAAAATGTGGTGGCAAGGTCTTCTGTAAAATCAGAGTTTAGGGCCATTTCTCACGGGTTATGTAAGTTATTATGGTTGAAAATTATTATAAATGATTTCCAAATCAACTAGGAAGGTCCAATGAAGCTCTATTGCGACAACAAGTCTGCTATCATATTGCTCATAATCCCGTTCAACATGATAGGACAAAGCATATTGAAGTAGATCGGCATTTCATTAAAGAGAAACTAGGAGGTTTAGTGTGCACGTGCTTTGTGCCCTCAAAGAGTCAACTAGCTAATGTTCTAACAGATGGCCTTAAATTGTTCGAGTTTTCATGATCTTATTTCCAAGCTGGGAATGGAATACATCTATTCCTTCGCTTGAGAGGGAGTGTCGAAATGTACATATTATAGATTAGAAGGAATCCCTATCATTATGGAATATAATTTCTATAACTATGGGATATTGTTACCTTCTTTATCGTTATCTTTTTTGTATCCTTTCCTTGATTTAGTTTCCCTTTATCTCTTGTAAATACCCTATATATATGGCCTTGTATAATAAAAGGATAGACATCAAATCATTATTCAAAAATTCATCTTTCTTGTCAGTTTGGCACAGACAAAATGATAAATAAATTACATAACTAAAACAATAGAATTACTTGTAGAAATATCAAATGCACACTCGCATTCAAGACAACTTATTTTACTACAAAAGAGTTACTAGCATGTTATCAAAGTGGTGGCATGCAATGCACACTCACCCCTTAAGAGTAGCAACACCACTTATTTTCTTATTTACTTTAAGTGCTAAAGCTTTCACCAAGTATGGCACAATGTTTTAACTCTTTTCTTGTGTCATACTCAAAACTCAAAGGCCACTTTCTTTTACGATTTGCCATCCACTTCTAGCCTCATGATGTCTATTTATAGTAGTTTAGGGTGGTGGAAAAGTTTCTTCGAAATTAAACTATCACTGTCCCTCACATCTCAAGATTTTTCCGGTTCTTTTATCTTCTAATTCTTCTTTTTCGGTCCAAAAAAAGTGTTGCAAGATTTTTCTTTTTAACTTTCCTTGCATTTCGAGCATTTATTTGGAAAGATGGAGATAGGTGGCAATGGTTTCAATGTTCCCCCATCACTGACTCTTATCCTGACTTCTTATTGTCATGCAGAGTTACTACTGAAATGCTATAAATATCTCTAAACTTTCGCTTTAGGTAAAATTAGCAGTGATATTACATCACTTCCAATAGGATGCATATGGATTTCCTGTCACAGCACCTCAGTGATAACGTATTTCGACATGTTTAGTCCGTACATGAAACGCCAATATTCTGGGTGAAGAGTTCTTCATTGATTGCCATAGCGACTTCATAATCAACATTTGGGTGCAAATAATTCTCATGCCGCTTCCAATTTGTAGAACAATTAATGTTCTTATTTATGAGTGCCTCTCCATCATTACTTTTGGTAGATATCCTACCATTTACATAGCAAGGGCTACCTAACTAGCCAATTATTTCCCGAATTTAATAACATAAGTTGAGTCGGCCAACCTTGCAATGTTGTGATACAGCTAAAGTATTCTGGCTTTATCCATTACTTATATTCTTCTAATTCTCTCTTCACCAATTTTTACCCTGATCTAATTGTTGTATTTGTGACAGGATTTTCTAATTTTACAAAGTAATTACTAACACAACCTATACTTTTGAGAAGGGATCACCAGCTCCCTATTCAAAAAGTCGAAGTCAACCTATGCAATATTTCAAAAATAGAGCTTCCAGAGCATCCAACACCTCCTTGGATGCCTCCAATGTCTTCGACTAGCAGCTATATTCTTCCTGACAGTCACTTCGACTGTGTCAAAAGTATTTGCCAGCTTTAATCTCCCATTTCCTGAGATTCTTGCACTTATCCTTTGGAGCCTGGTGATCTCAGTTCACTTTCATTGGTGATATTCCATAATTCATGAGCCTCACAGTAAGATACAATAGAAGTCTGCCAATTACCATAATTGTAAATGTTTAATTTCTCCATGTTGTCGAAAGAGCCAGAAACATCCACCATCATGGACTATTCCACAAATGTCACCAAGTACATTCATTCAAGGTGATGATAAAGTTACTTCAGATATTTCCTAACATGACTCCTCATATTTCTAGATTTCTCCATTTATTTTTATCTTCTAGATTTTTCATTTTGCACCTTCTAAAATTTTCTTTTTCCCTAAAAAATAATTTTTGCAAAGATGACCCTTCTATGGCTTTCATCCTTTTTCTAGAATTATCCAAAATGTTGGAGAGGCGGTAGTGAACTTGCTACTCCTCTTTATATGGTTCGGCACTGATTCGCATCAACATATGTTGGACCTGACATGATCAGCATTACACAAAGCACATTTGCACTCGGTGTAACACCTGTTGTACTTCCAAGCCACATCCATATATCGCTTTGTTGTCGCTCACATCAACTTTTATCAAGTTTTTCACAAGCGCTTGTTGAGGGAGGAGGTTTATAACAGAGGCGGCGGCTGTATACACATCTACGTCCNCCCTGCAGCTTCTTGGAATGGTCAACGGTATTTTATCACATTCATAGACGATTACTCTAGATATGGATACCTATATTTGATACATGAGAAGTCTCAATCATTGGACGTATTTAAGGATTTCAAAGCCGAAGTTGAGTTACAATTAGGCAAGAAAATTAAGGCTGTCAAATTTGATCGCGGTGGTGAATACTACGGCAGATATGACAGATCAGAAGAACAACGTCCAGGACCATTTGCCATCTTCCTAAAGGAGTGTGGAATTGTTCCACAGTACACTATGCCAGGTAAACCTAGCATGAATGGTGTAGTGGAAAGACGAAACCGAACTCTTAAAGACATGGTCAGAAGTATGATTAGTCATACTTCTTTACCTGAATCACTTTGGGGAGAGGCACTAAAGACTGCAGTTTACATCCTTGATCGGGTTCCATCAAAAGCAGTGACTAAAACCCCGTATGAACTTTGGACTGGCAAGAAACCTAGTTTAAAGCACTTGCATGTTTGGGGATATCCAGCTGAGGCAAGGGCTTACAAGCCACTTGAAAAGAAATTGGACTCAAGAACAATTAGTTGCTATTTTGTTGGATATGCAGAACGCTCTCGGGGCTTTAAGTTTTACAATCCCACTACCAAATCCTTCTTTGAGACGGGAAACACAAGGTTTCTTGAGGATGCTGAGTTTAGGGGGAAGATAAGATAAGGAATGTTGTCTTTGAGGATGATGAAGCTCCAGTTCAAGATGCTTTTATTCCCAACACTGTTGTTAGTGATGATCACGTTTTTATACCTATCATTGCTCAAGATACAACTCCAGTTCAGGATACTAGTGTAGGTGTACCTCTAGTACAAGACAACACTGAAGTTCCTCTACCTGTTGAACAACAAGACAACACTGAAGTTCCTCCACATGTTGAACAAACTCAACAAACTCAAGAAGTGCCGTTAAGGAGATGCACTAGAGAAAGAAGAAGTGCGATTCCGGATGATTATATCGTTTTTCTTCAAGAACATGAMGAAATAGGCATAAGGGAAGATGACCCAATCAACTTGGCAAAAGCCTTGTCTAGTTCGAATTCTCAAAAATGGATTAATGCCATGGAAGATGAGCTGAAATCGATGAAAGACAATGATGTTTGGGATCTTGTCGAGTTACCAAAAGGTGTGAAACCCATTGGTTGTAAATGGATATTTAAAACCAAGAAGGATTCAAAAGGTAACATCAAAAGATATAAAGCTCGTCTTGTCGCAAAAGAATTCACTCAAAAGGAAGACATTGACTATAAAGATACTTTCTCTCCGGTTTCATCGAAAGACTCTTTTAGAACAATTATGGCACTTGTAGCTCATTTGGATTTAGAGTTACACCAGATGGATGTAAAGACAGCGTTTCTCAATGGAAACATTGATGAGACAATTTATATGGTGCAACCTGAAAACTTTGTGTCAGGAGATCCGAAGTCTATGGTGTGCAAATTAAAAAAATTCATCTATGGTCTCAAACAAACATCCCGTCAATGGTATCTCAAATTTCATCAAGTGATCACCTCCTATGGTTATGAGGTGAATTTGGTGGAA